AGTGTTTTTACACTGTGCATTTCATTAGGTACAGGGGTCTATCTGTCTATCATGTACCTATCATCTGTCTGTCTGTCTGTCTGTCTATCTATCTATCTATCTGTCTGTCTGTCTGTCTGTCTATCCTCTCTCATCACTGTATCTATCTTTCTATCATGTATCTATATCTATCTCTATCATCTATCTTACTATCTATTTATATCTATCTTACTGTATATAGCAATGGCACTTATATACTGCTTCACAGTACTTTTACTGCCCTCTCTAAGGCTAAGCGGTTTACAGAGGCAGCCTATTGCCTCCAGCAATCTGCGTGCTCATTTGACCAACCTCAGAAGGGATGCCAGGCTGAGTCAACCTTGAGCCTGGTGAGATTTGAACTGCAGGCAGCCGGCAGTCCGTAGAAGTAGCCTGCAGTGCTGCACTCTAACCACTGCGCCACCGTGGCTCATGCTACATATCTCTATCATCTGTCTATCTATCTATCTCTATCATCTATCTTTCTGTGTCTATCTATATCTACCTGTCTATTCATCCACCTATCCACCCACCTATCCATCCATCCATATCTCTCTATCTCCATCCTCATCTAATTTAGGTACCACCCATCTCACTCTCACCCTATCTTCTTCCAACATGTATGATCATCATCCATGCTCACATTATATATTTTGCTACTTTCTAGTTTGTATGTGTTTTCACAGAGGTAACTATATCATTTTGTTTTCAAGCACCTAAATAGCTTGGTTGTTTTTTTTTTTCCCTTCAGCTTGGGTGAAGAAAAGTACATGGAAAACAATCTTGGTGACCTGGAACAGAGATTGGAAAAAATCACTGAACAAAATAAGGTTCTGAAGGAGACACTGAAAGCATTGAAAGGTATCAGGACGTAAAGAAGGAGGAAAATGAGAGGTGGTAGAAACAGCTTTAGGGATTTCTTTCTGTGATGGTTCCATCTTTTGTCATGTTCTTGTGCCCATTGTCCTCAATAGCTTTCTCTTCCAGAAAATCTGTCTCTCTTTTACTTCTCTCACAATCTTCCATGTACTTCCTCCCTCTTGTGAGTGATGGGTGAAGATCATATGCATATAGAAAAAAACACCTTATTCTTTCAAATGTAGTTTAAATGGGTTTATACATTCACAGAAAAATCCAAAAGCACAATTAGTTTCTTTGCTTATCATAAAAGACTAATTTAGATCGACTAGATTAAAAAGAGAATTTCTGAATGTGAGCCAGTCCATTATATGAGAATGCCAAAAATGGTGCTTGAAAAAAAAATGGAAATGAATGACACCAGAGTGAAAATAGAACATAATTCCAAGTGAAAATCAAAGGCTGGAAGAAGGAAGTCAGACATTTTTACGGGAATTTTAAGGAGCTACTTTGAAGAGTGGAATTGAAATGAATACTGTAAAGCAGCATCCCAGGAAAATGTTGATGAAATGGATGCTATCAATGCTTCAAGAATGTTGACAAATGTTAAAGGCATAGATTGTTAGGGAACACCCAGTCGGTCACTGGGAATACTGCATTGCAGTTTTGGTTGCCACGATGTAAAAAAGATCTTGGGACTCGGGAAAGAGTGCAGAGAAGAGCAACAAAGATTATTTGGGGACTGGAGCCTAAAACATATGAAGAACGGTTGCAGGAACTGTGTGTGGCTAGTCTAGTGAAAACAAGGACTAGGGGTGACATGATAGCAGTGTTCCAATATCTCAGGGGCTGCCACAAAGAAGAGGGAGTCAAGCTATTCTCCAAAGCCCCTGAGGGCAGGACAAGGAGCAATGGATGGAAACTAATCAAGGAGAGAAGCAACTTAGAACTAAGGAGAATGCCCGGGAAGGTGGATGGCAAAACTCTGATTGAAAAAGGGTCAATGAGCAAAAATTGAAAAGTTCAGTGTAGCTTTATTTCAGCAGGGAATGAATCATAGAGTCATGGAATCATAGGGCTGAGGGACATTGGAGGTCTTCTATGGTAGTTCAACCCCTTGCTAAAGGCAGGAGTTCTTACACCATTCCAGATAAATGGGTGTCCAATCTTTTTTTTTTTTTGAAAAGCATCAACAACTCTAGGAGGCAAGCTGTTCCATTTAATAATCATTTGCACTGTCAGGAAATTCCTCCTTGATTCCTCTGTGCAGACCATTTTTTGTTTTTTTGAAAAATGCATGAGGGAAAAAAACTTAGGGTATATTAGAGACAGAGTAAATAATAATGTAAATAGACTTTAATCATGGCATCTTTACACGACTATGGTTAGTTGCTGAATAAAGTACCTAAACTATGCCAACTATTATTTATTTTTCTTTATTCTGCCTTTACTTTCCAGCTAAAATACAAATCGAAGTAATAAAAATAATGGACAACTGCCTGAAATCTTATGAGAAAGGTAAATTTACCAAGCCAAACTGGGAAGAATGTATTGTTTAAGGTTTCCTTTCCTGTGTGACGTTAGCCAGTGAGATTTATGAACAATCACTGTGTGTTAGTGTGTACAAAACTAGCCAATGGTGTATGTTTTATAAATTGTGAATAAGTCATCTATTTTCAGTGTTTATTTTTTGATACGTTATTTAATAGATGTTCGTTGTAAAAAATTTTCACTTCACTGATTCATCGCTAAGCTATTTAAACATGATTTAGTGGAAAGACAACACATACATGGAATAAATAGGCTGCGGCTGTTTTTCATTTTGTCAGCAAAAAAATTATTTTTGTTTTTTTAAATTTGGGATAATTTTGTGTGCTTCATCTTAAATGATTCCCATAAATCAGTGCTTCCCAATTTTTTCTTCATTATTTATTTATTTGCTTATTCATTTGTTTACTTGTATATTTATTAAATTTATTGTTCACCCATTTTTACCTTCATGACCCAAACCCAGAAAATGTTATCAAGCTTCAAAGACCCGTCATAAGTCTTTTCTTCCAGCACTGTTGTAACTTCATTGTATGAGGGGTTGTAACTTGTGAACTAACTGTATTGTTAAAACAATATCATTCATGATGTTTGTGTCATTTCAACACATTCCCATTGGCAATTTCACTGCTTTCCCTCTTAATAGGAATATTTAGCAGATTTTTCAAATATATTTTAGTACACGTGGCAACCTTTAATTCAATTTAAATGTCCCTGTTGCGATTGGGTAACAGGCTTGTGTGTTGTTTACCCAAAGGAAAATACATTTTTTAAAATCCAATTTGGGGTAATTTCCCCAGATTTGGAAAGCACTGCTGTAAATGCTAATGGAATCCTGAAATGGACTGAAGGCTGATTTAGGGGTGGCCCTCAGCCACCTCTAGCCCAACCTTGGTCATTTTAAGACTTGTGGACTACAATTCCCCATACTGATTGGGGAATTCTGGGAATTGAAGTCCACAAGTTTTAAAATCGACAACATTGAAGATCCCTGCTGTAGCCATCACCACTTTACCTATGCTGCGAAGGGGTTGATGGGTAAGCAGAGGTTGCAGATGGCTGGAGATGGCTGCCAACACACACACACACACACACACACACACACAC